TTCATGTGACTCATTGGTTGTCCAGGAGGGAGTTAATTTCTATGTGTTTGTGCTGCCTTTGGGGTTTCTTTTGCCATTGATTTCCAATTTCATGGCACTACAATCTGATAATATGCATGGGATAATTTTAATTTGTTTGTATGTACTTAAGCATGTTCTATGAGCTAGTATGTGGTCTATTTTGGAGAACATCCCATGTGTTGCTGAGAAGAATGTGTAGTCTATTGTTATTGGGTATAATACTCTGTAGATATCTAGTAAGTCCATGTGTTCAAAGGCTTGGCTCAGCTCTGATATTTCTTTGTTGATTTTTTTTGTCTAGTTGTTCTATTTGTGCTACTGGGGTATTGAGGTCCCACATACAATTGTATTAATGCTTATTTGATTGTTCATGCCCATTAATGTTTGTTTTATAGGTATTTAGTGCATATTTATTTATGATATGTCTTCCTCTTGGATTGTTCCCTTAACAAGCATGTAGTGACCTTCTTTGGTATAGACAATTTTTGGAATGTCTTACCACGAAGGAGCAAAGAAATGGTGCTGTAACTGGAGGAAGAAATGTAGTCAAAGTTTCATTTTTTAGACAGGAGAGAAAACAGTGGGTTTGATTTCATGGCAACAGTTTTATGGAAAGCAAGAAGTTGACAATGTTGAAGATACAGAATTTCTGAAGCAATGTCTTCATTCAGATGAGAGAGAATAGAGTCTTGTTCAAGTACCCATACATCCTGTTCACCTTGAGACAGTCCCAGTTTTTTCTTATTGCCCTGGTGACCTATTCAGTTAGTATTTTTTCTCTCTCAAGCATAAAGTTTGGATAATGAATTATATGACTTTCTTAGATCTAGTGCATTAGCAGAGGAATTGGCTTAAGATGACAGGATAGAGTAAATAGGCACACATGAGAGTGAGTAGGGAGATGTACTGGTGAGAGACTGGAAGTTCTGGTTGCTTCAGTTTTCACAGTGAACTTGAAAGCAGGATCATCAACTATACTGAAGACTGTAAGGAAAAGAAGTAGGAGTGAAATATTGATGTTCCTCTTTTCCTCATCTTTCCATCCTTGCGATTGAGGTGCTCTCTTTCTTTAGTTTCTTAATAGGACTCTAGAAAGGAGCAAAACTGAATGTATGTTAATCATCTAGAGAAGGATTGTCTGTTCCATTTCTTTCAGATTTTAACTTAATAGTCTCCAGAGTAAAACACAGGCATCCAGATGGTTTGAAAAAATACTATCCTTTGGAATCCCCCCAAAAAATCATAGGCCTTTTATTCATAATGGCTTTATCTCATCAGTTTAATATTGGGTTATTTATAAATTCTTCAAAATAAATAATTTATAAATATATACACACACACATATTGGGATAGATGGTCAACATTTGTTACTGATAGAGGTACAACAATAAAAAGTTTGGAGGTTATTGCATTAAATTATGAATTTTTAAGAGATTAATTGCATTGATTTTAATTCATACATTTGAGTTAGAGGTATTCGTGATGAAAAAGTCAGTACATGTAATACTGCAAAGAAATTATGTTTGAAAAGCCAGGTGTGGTGACACATGCCTGTAATCCTAGCACTCAGAAGGCTGAGGCAGGAGGATTGCCATGACTTCAAGGCCATCCTGAACTGAACAGCAAGACCCTGTCTCACGCGCACACACACACACACACACAAATTAATTTTTAAAAATTTTTAAAAAGAAATTATGCTTGCAATAGGAATGAGACTAATGTACCTGGAAGAACACAGTGTGTGTCTTGGAACAAATTTCCACCCAAACATTGCTAACTCAAGAAAAATGTGTTTTTTATCTCCCCCCATTAATCATTGATTCTTTCCTGAAAAGCCTGGGAGGCAGTATCCTACAGAGCTTCTGGGACCACATTACATTAACAGACATATTAAGTGCCTGACTTCCATGGCAATAATAAGTTCCCCTGTCTACATAAAAACTAACTGAGCCAAGTGTGGTGGCACATTCCTATAATCCCAGTACTTGGGATGCTGAGGCAGGAGGATTGCCGGGAGTTCAAGGCTAGCCTAGCCTGTATAGTGAGTTCAAGACCAGCCTGACCTTGTCTCAAAAAATAAATAATTGAATAATTGAAATTTGCACACACATATCCTTTTAAGCATATGTTATTCCAAGGACCATCTGCACATTCTGTCTGGCAATCATGGTAAGGGTTGATTTAGGAAATGTGAAGCAATAAAAGTAAAAGAACCAAAACTAAAAGAATAATGGAGAGGAGACTTCAAGAAAAGCTGTTGACCTTGGACTAGCTGGTAGTTGAAAAGAACAGTTGCATCTCAGCTTTTGGACTTGAAACTTAAATACTTCATTCTTTTTGCTTTGCTCATCTTTGCTAATTATCTATAATTCCTAAAGGATTTAACTTAATTAACCCAGTGATCCATAAATGGAGTTTTCATTTTAAAATATCCTTTTTATAGCCCAAATGTTTCCAGCATAATGAATTCCCTATGTAATTAAAAGTTTGATTAAACTAGAACTCACAAAAATGCTATAATAAAAGATTTCTGAGTAGATCCCTAAACAGATTTACAGCTTGACTGAGAAATCCTTATAGCTTAGATGTATTCAAATAATTTAGTTTAACCTTTGCCAAGGCAAATCCAAGAAAAAGCATATAAAAGAAATAAAAATAGATCTGCTTAAAAGAATTGAGAGTTGCTAAGCATGCAAATAGACTGTCGTCTGCCAGCTTGCAAAGAGGTGGCATCTGTTCCACCACAAGAGGACGGTAGTGCTCAACTGTTAATGGAGAACACAGCAGAGTGCCAGACACTTCCTTAGAACAATCAATATAGCCATAGTTAACACATCAATCTAAAAGGACAAGAAAACAGAAACCACATCCCAGACAGTTTTGAAGCTTTTGTCCCTGACAATAATAAGACAGGAAATGGGCTGGGGATTTAGCTCAGTGGTTCCACAGCCTGCTTCGCAAGCATAAGGACCTGAGTTCGATCCCGGGTTTAAAAGAAAAAGACAGGAAATAAGCAACAGGGTCTTGTGAAAGGGAGCAATCTCTCTCCCCATCCTGGTGTCCTTGCATCACCATGGAGGTGGCTTCAGATGGGGTCTGTTCCTTTGGATGTTGGGCTACAGAGGTCTTAATGGGTATTCAGAAATGGCAGAATAAAGCTGAGAGGAGCAGCAGAGCTGTTTGATCTCAGAAAATTAGTTAGGACTGGTTTTTAGGAGTATCCTAGGGTGAACTTGTATTTTATTTTATTTAGATTCATAACACTGGAACATTAAAATAATCAAACTAATCTTTGAAAATCTGTAGCATTGCCTTTTAAAGTTTTGAGGAAGCTAATTAGTCCAAGAGATAGAAGTATAACAAATGAACTCTCAATACCTTACGTATATATTTTGATTGATCTAATAATGCTGAGAAAATGAATTAGGTATGTTTAATATGTTTTCATGACCAGTATCTGTTTCTGTCTTTATGATAATTGTCACTATTGAGCTATAATCTGGAAAAACTTTTATTACTTTAAAATCAAATTAAATTATCCCTTGATTTAATGTTGTTTTAATTCAACATTTATTGAACAGTTAAAATTGAATAAGACAGTGTCTCTGTTAAAAGAATCTTAGAAAATTAATTGTATCTACATGTTTTAAAGTCATCATCAAATAAAAAACAGAAACTTGTGAATGTTGTCCATGTTTTATGTGCCTTTCCCATCACATATTGTGACTTTTGTTGTAATAACACCTTCAAAACCATAGGAAAGCTAAACCTAATTCAGGAAACCCTATTTTTTGTGTTGGTAGAAAACAGGAAATAAAATGGGTTCTGCTTTTAAATTATAATAGATAATTGTCATTATTGTTAATAAGCTACAGATAATTTATATTTGAAACTCTCAATTATATTTAATGTTTATTCAATTTAAATCAGCAAATATGTATTTAGTACCAAGGATGGAATGTACCAAAAAAAAAGGGAAATTAGTACTTTTGAGCAACTACTCTGTGACAGACCTTTCTCATTATCCTCATTTAAAATCCCGAAGTATTATCCCTATTTTACAGAAAAAGAAACTTAGCCTCAGAGATATTAACTGGCATGCTGCAGATCACAAAATTAGTTCAGGTAGAATCTAGATAATCCAGATCTGTTCAATGCTAAGGTATATATTTTTTCCATTGTACCATTTTATCTGAATATTAGTCATTGACTTCTAAGAAAAATAATTTTTATAAACGGCAGTTTAGCAAATACAAATATATATAATGGTGGGTAGTAACTATATATTTTTTAAAAATTTAATTACAGAATATTTCAAACATACAAGTATAGATAATAACACTTATGAAATCAATACAAAGCTACATTTTGTATTTAACCTTAACATTATGCCATGTTTTAGTCAGACTTTTTTTTTTTTTTTTTGGGACCGGGCATTGAACTCAGGCCCCTGTGCTTGTGAGAGGTGCCGGAACCACTGAGCTAAATCTTCGGCTTAGTCAGACATTTTAAAAGAAATAAAATAAAATAGGATCAGTTGAGGTTTTCTATCTCTCCCTGATGCCGTTCTCTTTCGCCATATTATGATGAATTTGGTTACCAGTATTTTTCCTTTTACTACATCCTCATGAATTCATAAACAACATAATACTACTCTGCAAGTTTAAAATTGCGTTTATAGTGTACCCAAATGGACATAATACTATACAGTTTACTTTTGGGGCTCAATATATTTTTGAGATTTATCTGTAATGGTATATATAATTCTAATTCTTTAATTGTTAAATGCTATGTAGTATTCTATTAGATGAATATATCAAAGTGTATCTATCCATATCCTTGTCACTACATATTTAAATAAGACTCTATAGTTTGACTCAAAACTTATCTAATGAATTTCAATCATAATAGTAGAATTTATTTTAATAATAAAAGAAAGTTCAAAACTATTCACACTAACTTTTTTTTTCTTGATGCAGCTCATTCCCGAATCAAAGTATGGAAATTTGGTAATATTGTCATTGAACTTCTATACCACTGGCTGCACATCTGTTCAGCTCTCATGAAGCTAAGCAAAAAACTAAACAGTGCTATTACACCTCCATTGCCCTCCAAGTCTGACAACTATATATATGCAAAAATGCCAGAGGAAACTTTGCAAAGGAAATCCTAGCAGAATTTGTACTCTATTTAGGATACAGTACTTTGATCATATTCACTGTTGTTAACTTTAAAATATTTTCAAGTGCAAAGGAATGCCACACAGACATATTTGGCAGTAATTTCTAAAACCACAAGCACTACCTATGCAAAAATTTTATCTAAGAAATATCCAGTTAAGGTAGCCATAACTGAATGTATTTAAGCGTATTATAAAATGTTTGACGTTCCCTTGTGGTATGAGCTTTGGATATGCCATGAGACCACTATGGTTGATTGGGTATTTTTCATTCTTCTAAGGTACAAATACAGAAAGCTGTGGATTTATTTTTAAATGGCAGGGTTTTATTTTTAATATCAAAAGAATAACAAATAATAAAGATTTTAAGAAATAGACTTGGGATTGTTTTCCTAATTTTCCAAAGACTTATCTGAAAACCACCTCTTTCCCCCCTCTCACACTCCTCTTTCCTTAGCAACTTAAAGGTCATTTTAATAAACAGAAATTCTTGTAGGAAAATGTTAGTTCATGACTCAAGGAAAAATGAAAATAGTGCTTCTAAAAAATGACAGAAACCTGTCAAGTTTGAGAACTACAAAAAATGTTTGTTTAAAGCTTGTTATTATGGCAAAACTTTACTGTTCTATTGTGAGATTTCATCTTTGCAGTAAGATATCTGATGACAGTCCATTTTTAATAAAATTTGGGGAAATTAAACTTTATTTTCTTTATTAGGTTGACAAAATGTGATGTGTTCCAAAAATCTTATAATTGGAGATTGAAAGTCTCTTTTTAACCTTTTCTGATAAGACTACAGTGTTATTACCAGTCCTCATCTTTTGGATGATCTCATGCCTAGCTTTAACCTATCAGCCTCTTTCATATTTGGAGGAGGACATCTTTGGGCATTTGCAGCAACATTTCTAGAACAATGTTCTTTTGAAGATATTAAACTGATAACCATATGTCCTGATGGCTTCAGAACCAGCTTATGAAGAATTTGCTATGAATACAAATAACATTTAAGGCAGCAAGACAGGGAAGATTTTGTAGAATGTTATATATTTAACCATTATCATGGAAATTAAGTTAACTAAATGACCTCTAGCTGAGTAACAAATGCCATGAATTTTTTAATGACACTTTAACTTTAAGTATTTTCACCCACTAACTCATTTGATCCTTTCAATAATCTGTAGATATTCCTGATACTATCTCTACTTTATAGATGAGGAAACAGGCTCAAAGAATGAGCTGTTTAGTTCACACAGCTAGTAAGAAGCACGCATGTGTCTTTAATTTCTAGTTTATTGCCTTAGCCAGCATCCCAGACATCTCGCTAACAGTTACCAATTTTTCTTATTTATTTCTTTATACCAGAGATCGAACTCAGGACCTTGTGCTTGCGAGGCAGGTGGTTTTTTGTTTGTTTGTTTTTGTTTTTGTTTTTGTTTTAGACAGGGTTATGCTGTGTAGTTCAGGCTGGCCTTGAACTTGCAGTGATCCTCCTGTTTCAGCCTCCTGAATGCTGGAATTATAGGTATGCACCACCTTGCCAGGATTCTAAATGTCTTAGTAGGCTAATGACAATATTATCAGTCTTTTCTAAACTACTTTAAAATTAAGCAACCAACAACCAAAATTTATTGAGACTTTCAAAATTTCTTATTAGGCTAATGACCATACCATCAATCTTTTGGAAAATACTTTAAAAATTAAGCAATCAGGGATTTAGCTCAGTGATGCTGCCACCTGCCTCGCAAGCACAAGGTCCTGAATTTAATCCCCAGTACCAAAAATTAAAAAAATAAAATAAAATTAAGCAACCAACTAGCCAAATTGGTTGAATTTATTTAACTATCATATCAAAGTAAAATACTATCCTTTAATGTCTAGAGTTTACTTTTTAGTGAAGAGGATGTTATTTATACTTGACAAGAATTTTGACATAGATTATCTCTAAACCCATTTATTTCACTCTTAAAGGCACATCATGGTGTGTAAAATATACTGACCATATTTTTCTGATTAAAATATTTACTTCAGATAACAGTAGCTGGCTGTGCATTGCAGTAGCTACACTAGGAGAATACAGGAAGCAATCTTTGTATTCACCAAACTTGATACAATAAACAGCAAGGTGTGCACACACTTGTCAAAGTCTAAATGGGTAAGTTTTACCCACATTATATGCCATGTTATGTTTTATATTTATATATATATGTGTGTATATACATATATATATATATGAT